CTTTTAGTTCTTTCAGTACTTTGATCACTCCTTTTTTGAAATCTTGATGTAGTAGGCCATCAATGTCTATTTCCTTGATCGTGCTTTCAGGGGATTTCTCTTGATCTTTTAATTGGGAGTGGTTCCTTTGCTTCTTCATATTGCTCATATCTCTCTAGCACTGTGGCTTAAGGAGTATCAATTATCTAGTTCTCCTGGAGATGGTGTGCTCTTAATAATTTTATTGAGAGGTCTTTGTGTCTTCTCCCTGTTTCACTAACTCAGCTTGCTGTTTCCAGAGGCCCTCTGTTGGCGCCTTCGTCTGTGCTGCTCCCAGTGGCTGTCGGCTAGCAGATCGCGCCCCCTCCTAACACTGGGTCAGGAGCTGAGCTCTTACCCAGTGGGTGGGCTGGTCACTCCCCCTCCCGATGTCGCAGTCAGATGCTGCGCTCAGGGGGAGGCAGGTGGGCAGATCGTACCCCCTCCCAGCACCGTGGTCAGGTGCTGCATTCTACAGGGATATTCTTATTTTTGCTTAACTGCATTTTCTAATTTTACTAATTTTAAACACACATAATAAATGTCAATACACATTAGACATAAAAATATTGGAAAAATTATTGTAATCATTTCCTGTCTAAACTTTTACATGTGGATAAACATATTTTGCTGAAATAGTTTCAACATTTCAAATGTTAATTTATTATAGACTGGAACATTAAGAAAAACTAATATTTATTTCAATAGACATATCAAAATCTCAAGAAATGCTTTATAGCAAGCTATTAAACATACCTTATATTATGCATTTAAAATTGATACATGCTACCAATAAATACCAAGATTATAGTTCTTGCCTAAATTTGAGTCCCTGAAATTATAAAAAATTATTTAAAAAAATTCACCTTTGTCTGCAATTGCTAGACTTAAACTAAGCAGTAATATAGCAATGTGATCTCTGCTTAGAAACTTCGTGTTTCTATGGTTCAATTTCCTCAAGGAATTTATAAAATGGTATAAAATGGGCATGATTATTAGTCATAACTCAGTAAGAGTGTGTAAGAATCAATTGAGATAATGAGATAAACAGCTTAGCACAGCAGCTGGCATACAGTAAATGATAAATACATTTTACCTATGACTTATTGTTGTTCTGCATCATTATTTAAAAAATTTAAACTATTTTTACCTCAAAAATGTGGCTATCTAATTTTGAAAAAAATATCCATTTTCCACAGTACTGCATATTTCAAGGAATGAGAGTCCATTTCATTTTTTCCCCTGAATTTAATTTTAACAAAAAGGAATCTTGTTCAACAGTTTTTGATAATGTCATTTCACTACAGTACTTTGTCAGAAGTAGTACATATTCCCATCAGGGGCAAAATATTTAAAGTTCAATTCTGGTCTAATTCACTTCACAAACTAATAGAAATACTTAAGGATTGTGCCTTGCCATTCTGAAGGGCTCCTATGCCAAAGGAGTTTGTTACAAACACAATCATATCTATGTCTATATACTTTATATAAAGTCAACTCAATAATTCAGTATGAATTATACAGAGAGAGAAGCCAAGGTGTAGACAATACATTTATATTTGGGAAATGCATTTGTACTTACATCTCAATTTGAAAGAGTTCAATTTTACAAAGTTAACTTCAAACACAATTACACTGGGAAGAGATGACTTGGGAAAAGCTGGGAAGCAGCCCAGTCTCCCCCAAGCTGCCTCTACAGCTTGCTTCGGCTGTAATGGAGGCAAGTTTCATTAATACTTACCTTCCTAGAATCAGAGAATATGATTAAGCATTCAAACTTCAAAGAGATTCTCCTCAAGGAAAAAAGTAAATATGATCTAAATGTATATCATGCTTGTGATAGAATAATCACAGAGAGTAACTATTTCAAGTCTCTTCAAAATATACTTTACTTGTACATCCCTAGTGTGATATAACAAAAGAACTGTTAAAGTCATATACTATTTTCAGTAATTGTATTGTTGGTAGCAGTGTGTTATTCTGTTACTGTTTTGTTGAAATTGTTGTGTGTTTTATAGGATGAAGCAATAGAACAATTATATGATAGTATCATTCTATCACTCTTGGTAACATTGGTAAGTAATTTCATCATGGGAGAAAGCAGATATATAAGAAGTTAAGTAAAAACCTTTAGAGTCTCTTGATGTATTATGTATGTATATATGTATATATGTTTCTTTTAGCTCTGTCCACTGAAAAAGCCTAGAAACAATGACCAATCTATTAATAAGTGAACTCCCCCAGGTGGTGGTCTTCAAATACCATTTCCCAGGCCTTTGTAGAAAATGACTGATTCCAGGTCTGGGGTAGGAATTGAACAAGAGGAACTTGGATTATATTGTGATACAAGATAGAAAGAAAAAGACTACAAAGATTGTATCAGTAGGACTCAGAAGTCAGCAAGAAGAGATTCACACTGGCCAGAGATGGAAGAATTTGAGCATCTAAAAGGATAACAGCAATGGATGGAAACAGTAAATATTATTAAATATATTAATGTTTGATGCTAAATGTTAAATATACTAAATATATCCATATATTTAGTAACAGTTTAGTGATACTGAATATAGTAAAAACTAATTGGACAATATATAACAGATGTACTTTTTCTCTTGATTCAGCAAACATTAATCTACTGCACTAGGGATATAAAGATGAATAAAACATACCTGAGAGAAACAGATTAAGGAGATAGGCATTCACACAAATAAGTTAAAATACACAGAATTTCAATCTTCATGCAGTTTTAAGTTTCAATAACT